TTCAGCATGGTGTGTGCCCACGGCTGCACAATAAGTATGCAAAAAAGTGAGTCATACGTGACAGAGGATGAATACGAATGCATATGAGAAATACGTGCAAGGTAAAATAAAAACATACGTGAGAAATGACATGCTAATAATTTCACCATGATGTCACACGTACATCGTCAAAGACTCATTTCAATCCCCGTAGTGCAGCAGCTTAGGAGCGGCGGCCGCAGCCACAACTCCGCGAACCACCGTGCCCCCAACACGTCGGCGAGTTCTAAGCGAGCGACGTCGTTCAGCTCGAGCAAGCGAACGCGAGACGAAACACGGCGCTGCTCGCAGAGTGTCAGCCGCCAGTGAACTCCGAACAGGAGAGTGAGCGTACGCTTCGCCGCCGCCACAAACAGCGCCGAGCTGGTTTGGAGCTAGCACCGAAGAATTCGACGGAAATGCGGCCCCTTTCCACAAACTCGAGCGAGTGCAGCGCGCAAACGCAAGTCCACCGCCGCGGCCAATGGACGGCGCTGAGATGCTTGCGACCGACTTACGGGGAAGCCAACTGTAATAGCGACCAATTCTCACTGAGTTCCGATGCTAGCGAAAGCCTTGCCGGCCCGTCTGGTGCACTTTCAGCGCGCGACACACTACAACCAAGCTCGTTACGAGAACCCGCAACGTGTTTTCGACGACTCACAACACAGCGACAAAGTCTCAGCCAATATCGTGAGTCCGGTGCTCATTGCGGCAGCGAAGACAGGCGAACACTCGATGAGTGAGCGTACGGGAGGCCAATGGCATTGGCGGCCCATTTCCAGGCAGTCGCAAAGCACAGGCGAACTGCAGACGCCCAAGCTGGCCTTCGCGGTGCATTTCGTACGTGCGATATAGAACAAGACCAATCCCGTTGCCAGAATGTGTGATCCGTATCGCACACGCGACAAGTAGAGTAGAATAAAGAATGATCACCTACTTGCGAAAGAATCCAGCGCTGATTTCTGCCCTGAGTCGGACTGAAGTAATGTACCCAATAGGCCTGCTGTCTTCTCGGCCGCCATGTTGGCCTTCTCAACTGTTGCTGTCGTGTGTTGGTGGTGACTATCTAGAAGCCAGAGATATACAACGTGGCGTCGTGACGTGTCGAGACCTGCTCCAGACTTCATGGGCGCGGTGAGACATAAAAGCAGCAGTGCACGCTCACCCAAGCGTACATACACACAAGCACCACATCGTAATTCCTTGATCGTTGAATTCAGGCGGCCTTGGTCGAGCACTCCGAGTGCGACGCAACGCGAACCGTCGCCAGCAAAATACCGGGAAAGACTGAGCCTGGAGAGGAAGAGGACGGCTAGTGACCTTGGCAACGCTTTTCGCGGTGCCCACGATTCCCGGGTGGTTCATCTCTTTGGAGCGTGGTTGGAGACTAAGTGGTTTGCACGTGGCACGCTTCTCTTTGTGGTTGCTCCCCAACAGTCTATCCGTTCATCGCGCGCGCCTATTGGGCTCCATTACTCCTTTTGCGGGTAATTTTGCCTTAGAGTGCATTGTGAGTACGTAGGAAGTCCCATCCTAAAATGATATTATGGGAATGTTGCGGAGGCACGACAAATTCGATCACATAAAAAAGTCTTTGTTAACAAACCGTGCAGTGTACGCAGCTAAAGGCCGAATGTGTTACGCATTAGCAGTGCTTAAAACGAAAGCGTGAAGAGGTGTCGTTACTTTCCTTAATTGTCGGCAAAGTTTCTCAGACATGACAGAACTTCGCCTCCTGTGTCCACAAGCACTGAAACAGGTACACCATCAACAGAAACAGCAATAACATTACACGGTGAAAAACAAGACCTTGAAAAGTTTGAAAGCTGTGCAGTTCCTGCCTCTGGAACTGCTGTTTCTAGTTTTCCTCTGGATCACGCGGGGAATGTTCCCTTCATTGTAGAAAGAGAACGGCGCCGCGGTGACGGCGACCGGCGCGCGTTGACGTGGCGTCGGGTCGAAGAGTCAGGAGCGTCATACGGTCCAGATGAAGCAGGCTCAGGTCGGGGCGTGAAATTGTAACCATGTAGCCTCATGTTATTGTGCTGAGGTCGCAGTGCGAAATCATAACCGTATGACCTGATGTCAGCATGCTGCATAAACTGACGTCGCCAGCAAAACTGTGCTACTTGGCTCGGGAAACCACAGGCGTAGCATAGGGGGCGGCTGTCTTGAGTGCGCCTTAGATTCTGGAAATTAGGTGTCGATCTAGAGAGCGGTCGAGTAGCATGATGCACGAGCTGAGGCGATGGCACAAATGGGCGCGTGGGGACGTAGGAGTTGGCAGCAGGAAATCATCCAGGGTTGACCAATGCTTCAGCATACGTGAGCGAAGCAGTCACTGATGGTGCAGTGGCAGCGGGAAGCACCTCGGCGACTCGCTCCTGAACAACACTTTGTATTGACGTTGGTAGCGAATGGGGGGCGGGATCAGTGACGCAAGGCAAAAGGGAGAGCTGGCGGGTGACTTGTTCAGGCACTAACTGCTTTATATCTCGAAGTAAAGCGGCATGGCCCTGCACAAGGCCATGAGGCGTGAGAGCGGCAATGGTTACACTTGATGCAGTGGTGCGAGGAGTAGATTTCCGTTGCTTCCAAAGTTCGTCATAGCTTTGGCACATCTGTATGACGTCGCCTACTGTTTGCTGGTTTTTAGCGATGAACATGTGAAAGGCATCGTCAGAGACACCTTTTAAGATATGCTTGATAATCTCCTCCTCCGTCATGGAGAAGTTCATGTGCCAGCAAAGGGCGATTGCATCTTCAATGTAACTGCTGAAGCTTTCACCAGCTTGTTGAGCTTGCGACCTCGCAGGCGCTGTTCAGCAAGCAGTTTTCGAAGTTCCGAACGATCAAAAAGTTGAACGAAGGCCGTTTCAAAGGTCTACCAGGTTGGAAGGTCAGTACTATGGCTATAGAACCATAGTTTGGCGACGTCAGTCAAATAGAAGATGACGTTGATAAGCTTGTGCGCATCATCCTATTATTTTTGCTTCCTTGCCAGGTCATGCTCGTCAAGCCAGTCTTCCGCGTTTTTTTCCTCAGTGACACTGAAGAGAGGAGTTTCACGTTGCCGAAGAGGGCCGGAGCAAAAAAAAAAAAAACAGTTGAAGGAGTTGTTGCTTGGGGGTCGGGCTGCTCGTCATCGTCCGGCGCCATGGAATCAACTGGGGGCAACGTACGGTTGCGAAGTTCTAGGACGATGGTAGCGTACCCGGCACCTCCACCGATTGAAATAAGACGTTTTGGCGCAGCGCGTATTTATTAATTCGTAGGGTTCGTCGCATGCAGAAGGTCGGGGAGCAAGAGCCGAGCAGGTGCAAGCGTTGGCTAGCTAGCTGGTTGGCTGATTGGTTGTTTCTCAGAGTCTTGTCGCTACCCACCACAGGGGATCGGCCATAAAACTGACGGTACCTTGTCTTTGTGGGGGAATTGTTTTACCAGCGGGAATGTTTGGGTAGGGATGCTTTAACAAAGAACAGATTGATAAACCTTGGATTAGAATTAGAATATATAGATGTAATAAAAAAGAAAACCCAACAACCTAATACGGTTGAAAAATAAAATGAATTTATGTCTATGCTTAACATTTTATTTGTTTTGTTTTCTTTAGAAAATTGCCCATGCCCTAGCAAACGTTCCTTTGGCTAAATTTCTTATCAGTTGCTCCAGAGAAAGCGACCACCGGAAGGAATAAATTTACAGCCAACCTACGGAGAGGTTCTTCTAATAGTCGTTTTTTTTATTTGTAAATAACCTGCATGTTAAGAGGAAATGTTGCAGAGATTCACTCTCGTTGCAGTGAAGGCATGTAGGAGACTGTGCGCGACCAGACCTGTGTAGATAAATATTCTGTAGGGGGACTCGGCATTGTAGTCTCGTAATTGATATCACTACCCTTTTTGAGGAGCACCATCAATTTTCCGGAGGTACTTAAGATGAGAAAACTCAGATGTTTCCAAGCCAGACTTTTCAAAATTATCTGATGTGACAATTTTTTCAAAGTGTGCCACGGCAATAAATGCTAGTGTCGGCAATATAGAAATTATGGGACAATTATGTGAGGCCACTACAAGTGCATCTAAATATTTATTAGGGGTTAAACCTTTATGCCCTGGTATACACATCAAGCGAATGACTCGTGTCTTGGGGCAAGGGCGTAAAACACTCCTAAAGCATTTGACGTATTGGGCATAGTTAATGAAGTACACACAGACAAGCAGTCTGTAAGAATGATAGCATCTGTTATAGATTGAAGAAAGTTCCATGATGCTAAGAGAATTCCAAGTAATCACGCTTGATAAACAGGTTTAAAATAAGGTACACGGATTGAAAAAGACCAATACAACTTTGATGATGCAATTCCCACTCCAGCCTTCACAAACAGAAGCATCAGTTGCTATTATAACCTTTATTTCTCATCTTGCCAGGTGGTTTGCAAAAGGGCATTTAGGTGCCTATTGAGAGGATTTTTGGAATTCTTAGAAAATATACTATCAAATTCTATTTTCATTGTTTGAATAAGTCTTCTTTGTACCAGTACTTCACGAAAGTTTACTTGTAGTGTTTCCAAAAGCTTCTGTGCGACGATAACTTGTGGGCACCATAATCTAGACCACTGTTGGCAAGCGTCACGATGCACCAACCACGAATGTGGTCGTTTTCCTGCCTAAGAGTGGTACCCTCTGCCTTTCAGAGCAGCTTTGATCTTCTTCAGTACATATGTATTGTTTTTGAAAGATTTTCACCGGTTTTTGTGGCTCATCTGCAAACAAGTTTATCAAGTTCAATGAGGTATTGAGTTGACTAAAGCCTTTGAGGTGTGGTGGGCAAGCTACAAAACCGCTTATTGGCCTGATATATATGTACGAGAGGCAGGAATGAGTGCATTGACACTAATGCGTAAAATAGCAACCATTGAATAGTTTACTGACGTTTAAGAAACATTCAATGAAACACGTACATGTGCGACTTTCTAGCTGTGGTGCACTTACTACACTCGTGCCAGAGCTGTTGAAGGATGTCAGCTGTCTCTGAAATCTCTGGGTCTGGAATACTTGGACCTCTACCTCATGCACTGGCCATTTGGTTATAAGGTATGGCAGTAGTTTGATTTTATTTTGACAGAAATCTCCTAGCTTGTACTTATGATGCTACTTCACCCTGAATTTAAATTCAGAACTGATGTATATCGCAGGATTTACGCCTGGCGGAGTCATCTTGTGTTACACATAGCTGGTTAATTACTGTAGTATCTGAAAAACTGTTTATTTATTCTATACTGCAGTACAATATTCGCTGAAGGTTCTTCTGGACTAGCTGGTTCAGTTTACTAAAATATAGAAAGCACACCACTCTTAAGGACAACAATATAAATTACAAAACATTTTTATTTTGGGTGAAGAAGCACGTGATAAATTTAACACACCAGGAGCGGGAAAATCTAATTTGAAAATGTGGATATATTTTGAAATAGGCCCGTTTCTGCTATATTAAAAATATTCTTTAAGTATTTTGAATATATTGATATATATTTATTGTTGGAAACATTACTTTTTTAAAAATTGTGAGTGCGCACGGGCTTCAGATTCATATATTAGTAATGTTTGTGGCGGAACTGTATAGAAAGAAGGCGATGAGAGTGATACATCGTTTTTTTATGTTTGCCCTCAGGATAGCGATGAATTATTCCCACGCGATGATGCGGGGGAAATAATTGACAGCGATGTCGATTACGTTGAAGTTTGGAAGGTAAGCTATATGACTTTTAATAGTGGTTCTAGTACACCATACTAGATATTTAAACGAGTAAATGAATCACGTAGCCTTTCTCAAAAAAAGCAAAGCCAGTGTCGGAATTACTGCACTTGACTCTGGGCACTTAACTGGTGGCCTGCTACACCACACTGTTTAAGTCACATCAGTGTTCGGCATCTCAGCTGTGTAGCACTGCGATTGTAGTATCTGCAAGCGACGTTTATTTCCAGGGCTCTCCAGAGCTGAATGAGTGAGTCACATTCTCTTGAGGAGCACACACGTTGATTTCTGTTTCTCCATCCACTTCACGCTTTGTCACTACTCATCCTTTAGTTCAATGTGTGTGCTACATCCCTCCTCAGTGGAACAGCTGACGCATCCCAACGTTAACTCCGACTCGGCACTGAACCTGATTTTGTAGGACGGTGTCATTCGCTGACCTTCACTGCCATTACAAAGAACTTATTCACAGGCAGTTTATTTCATGTTGACTGTTTCAGTAAGTAAGTATGAGCTTCTTATGCTTCGCACAAAATATTGCGGTTATATGTAAAATCTTATAGAAAGTTTGAGCACCATGTTTCCCATATTAGGCGTAGAAAGCCGGCTGCCGAACAAAATATTCTTCGTACTCGTGGGCTGGCCCAGCACCCCGATTGACCCAAATGAGAAGAGACCACATGCCTGAAACACTGCGTATTCTTTATTTGTTTTCATGCTTGCGGTGATTTTTGTGGAGTTTGTGTATTGATATTTAGTTGAAATGGTTGTCATCAAGAATAATTTAGCGTTAAAAATTTGATACAAAGTTTGTGATTACCATAAGAAAAAGTAGTGTTCGTGCTTTCGAGTGTGAGTGCCAACGTAGCTGCGTTTGCTATTTCTGCCCTTGGGTGCGCATAATTCCCCTCTTATATTTATCATCTGGAAAGATTTTGCACGTTTGCCAGTGTATTATTCTTTACAGAAAAGTGTCTTGAAGGACCAGTTGGTACATAATTGTGAGGGGAACAGTGTGAATTGCGATGAAGAATGATCTCCGCAACACAAGCGCTGACGAACAACTGCAGTGTGTATAAATTCATTATAGCTGAAAATGTATGGCTGAAAACGGCAACAAGAACAAAACCATTACGCGCACATAAAAGTAAAAAGGAAGACGAAACTGCCACGAGTCGAAAGGGTCAAGTTAACCACTCAAAAACATATTATCTTTTTACAAGAGGGCGAGTGAAGGCTCACTAACGCTCATGTTTCCTTTCGTCTTGCGTCAGTGAGCCTCCACTCGCCTTTCTGAAAAAAGAGGTTATAATTTTGAGCGGCTAACTTGGTCATTTTAACTCGTGGCAGTTTCATTTGCTTTTCACACTTATGCGCACATGATGGTTTTATTTTCGTTTTTGTTTTCAGCTATCTATTTACAGCTGTATCAAGTTTCCACACAGCTTTCGTCTGCGCTTGTGTTACGGTGTTCATTTTTTTTCTGAATCCTGTTTTTGCGTTGTTCCCATCAGTATTATTTTTTACTCAAAGTTCCATGTCGTGTAGTGAAATATCACTTCTAGAAATATTCACAATAATGCACCTGCATTGACTAAGTATATTCCCGACTGGGCTGCAACAGTATCTTGATTTCTTAGCAGCTTTCGTTATCTATGCGTCTAAGCTGTTGGCTCCAATTCTGTACAATCCGTTTAATGAAGAAAAATTCTAAAATTCTAAAACTCTGAAATTCTAAATTCTAAAATTCTAAATTCTAAAATTCTAAAGCTTATTATTTTTAAAGTCGTGACTCAATCATTTTCGAGGTGACTTACTGTGTTCATTAGATAGGAATACATGTGTCATCTGATAGCAAGACGTTTTTAATCGTATGTTACGCAGGTAGTCAGACGCTGACAACCTTGAGTACTGGTAATAATGTGACGTACGCGTATTTGTATGCATGTTTCTAGCAGTTCATGATATCCTTATATTGATGCGTCGTCTTATTTAAGTGTACCACTTACCAAAGCCCTGACTCTGTCACTGGTTTTATTTTGATGTCGATATTGTCTGTCATCAACGAGCAAGCTGTTTGTGTTCAAGTCTCATGTCACGCGACACTTTTGTCATGCTTCAATGGGCAGCATTATCTAGTTTACAGCAGTGGCGCTTCTTAAGAAGGTTTTTTAGTCCTACAAATTGTTCATGCTTGTAGGGAATGGAAGATTGCGTTGCCCAAGGTTTGGTACGAAGCATAGGTGTGTGCAACTTCAACAAGGAGCAAATGGCCCGACTTTATGAATCTGCTTCAATAAAGCCAGCCGTTTTACAGGTAAGCACAATGATGGAAAAGAACAAGGGCTTCGATTAACAAAAAACTGTGATGATCATTTCACTGCCATAAAAACCAGGGGTCTTCGCATATTCGATATTTTAGAATAACGAATTACATGGCGGTCTATTCGACTCAGTAGTGCAGTCACATCGTGGATATTTGAAATATGGAATATTCTTCGAATATCTTTCAATAATCAGCAAAAACGAAAAGAAATGCTCGAAGGAATGAGAAAAGCTGGAACAACGAGGGGTAACTTTAATTGTTTTTGTCAATCCGGTGCATACAGCCCATATACTTACGGGATATCTATGCTATGTTGATTACAGGTTTGAGGCGCTTTGCTTGAAAGTCGTGTGTCACCGATATGACAGTGTCATCAATTCACTACCTTCCCCATGACATTGATGACGATTTTTATCTACGAGGATTATTTGAAAGGTGTTTCTAAATTACCACCTTGAATAATGTAACCACTCCTGAATTTCACCTTCTAGTTACAAAATATTTTGTATAAGCTCTAGTTTCTGCTGTCTGCAATATCACCTCAGTTAAATAAATTGGGGTATATTCTCATCGACTAGAAGTAATCTAATGTTTCGTTGTTAAAGCTTATAAATAATTGTTTCATATAAAATAAGCTGAAATTTTTACTCGTTTTTTAAACTTCAATAACTTACCAGCCTATATGGCTGCTTCGAAAATGGTTGCATTGCTAATAGAAAACCATTCGAAAAGCATTAAATTTGTATTTTTGTTCTATTCAGGGTCGTCACTATTCGATTTGTATTCGATTCGTTTGTAAAATGTAAAATTTACTATTCATGCACCCCAAATAAATACTGATCGCATGGTAAATCAGTCATCACTCGTATAATAAATAGTTTCTCTTTGGTAAGATAAATCTCTAGGAACAATTTAACTTGCATTCATCAATACTTGATAGTATTTTGCGTCCCTTTAGCGTTACAAGCCTTTAAGGAAAGTTTGCAGCATGATATCAAGAAATAAAAGTGACAACACTGATGCTTAAGTGAGAGCGATATGGAGCACCGAAAACTTGAACCCTGAATATTTTAAGGTTAAGAGAAAAAAAAGCAGCTCCGTGCAGAAGTGCAACTTTAATAAATAAGCTTCATTTCAAATAGACTACTACAAAATTTAAAATTCATTATGCAGCTATGTCCTTTTTACTTTTTCTCTCAGCTTTAAAATTATCTCAGATACGTGGCAATTCATAGGACGGGTGCTAGAGGGCTTTCACTAAGTAGCGTCGTAATTGAGGCAGACGTTTTGCAAAAACTGTTGGCTCAACATTGGGATTGGTGCATGGCATACCTTAAGGAAGGCATTAGAGGTACAAGGAAGAAAGAAACTGGCCGATTTGAATCGCAATGTAACAAAAATGGGCACGAGGCAATGCACACATATCTCCCAATGCTGCAGAGAGATATAATTTTTTGAATTCAAGCTCGCTCTTTAATTTCGGTAAGATTATGTCAATGTTTTACAAAAGTTAGTTCTACTTGAAAAAAGGGCTTTAATGTTACTTCAGACGATACAACGTAGGACGGCAAACAACACATGTGGAATAAATTAGGCTGGTGCTTACACTTGTGTTTTATGGCAGCAAGAGCAAAACAGAGAAAGGAAGACGAGACGCTTCCACTTGCTAAAGGACTACTTTCTTCTAATACTTCTAGCATATTAATTCAGTCGTATTACTGAGCAGGCAAATGTATTGTAAGCTCAGCTCTTATTTAAACCAGTGCTTTTTTTCTGAATTTCCGTGGTTCTAAATCAGTGTGTCGTCGTTGCTATAGTGTGTCATGGTTGAAGAAATTCACCCTTGATAAAGTGCGCATGCATCCAAGCAAACGCGTGTGCTCAATCAAATTTCTAGAGCAATGCGTGCTATTTATTATTATTTGCTGCCTCAACCATTTTTACTTTGTGTATATAAGGAATTTAACAATTTCATATTCGAAGATTGGCAGACATGTACACCATGATAAACTTGAAGCAGTGTTTTTTTCGTTGCAAGAAAAAAAACGAAGAAATAAGGGAATGACAGGGCAAAACAACCACCGCTCTTGAAGAAAAAAAAAACTTGCGATAATGAAAATGTGTTAAGCCACGATGACGGGATAACAATCTGCATAGTTATGATTTATGTTCCACTCACGTCTGATTGATTGACTGATATGTGGGATTTAACGTCCAAAAACCACCATGTGATTATGAGAGACGCCGTAGTGGAGGGCTCCGGAAATTTCGACCACCTGGGGTTCTTTAAAGGGCCCCTAAACCACCCTGCGGTCGCAATTTAGTTGAGGGGAAGAAGTTTTGCTTGAGTTTACAGCAAACACGCAGCCGTGAGAATTTTTCGAAACAGTGTCGTAATAGCGGAGGTACACTCGTTTGATGATCGAAACGCGACGATCGTTTCTTTCTCTCTTTCCTACGCTACCCTCATCCAAAACTGCTTGGCCCCTCCTCACTCAGTCAGCTGAGTACCCCTTCTCATCTCGCGTGGCATACGTCACCACTGACGCGCTGCTCGAGACATCATCTACTTCCGGTTACCGCGATCTACCACTCCGACGACCCAGCTCGCCGTCAACTGTGTTGTGTGAGTCATCTGGGTGCACTGATCGTTGACTATTACCACTGCTGCTGTCGTGCTGGCCTGTGCCCCTACGAATCGTGCCGGTATGGTCCATGTGTTGCGTTGCGGGCTGCAGATGTCAATACGCAAGGCGCAACACGACCAAGAATAGCAACGTGTGCGCGAACAGCTGTTTGCAGAGTGACCTGAGGTCATCAGTGGTCATTCGCCCAATCGCAAGCATCGAAAGTGGTAACGTCATTGAGTTTCACTGGCGATGTCACATATGTCAGTAGTGAAAATGGCGGGGACCGGAAAGGAGAAGCTATTTTTTTTTTAATTGTGGCGCCCGCTACCTGTAGGGCTGCGGCGTGTGGCGTCGTTGATTGCGACGGTATTCTGCACGCGATGCGCTTGTTTACTTAAAATGTTTGGGAAAATATTGGAGGGGGTTTAGGGGCCATTTAACGGATACCCAAATCTGAGCACACGGGCCTACAACATTTCCGCCTCCATCGAAAATGCAGCCGCCGCAGCCGGGATTCGATCCCACGACCTGCGGGTCAGCAGCTCAGTACCTTAGCCACTAGACCACTGCGGCGGGGCACCCATGTCTGTTAACTTATGCAATGATTTGTAATGATCTTGCAACTTGAAGAGTGAAACTAAAAATCAATGCACTGAAGATGTAATACTCACTTTTATTACTTCGAGATTTGGTCGTTTGCCCAGATTTATGATTTTGGAAGGCATTCCGTACAGTAGAAAGCTCGTTTAGGAGATAGGTTACTCCGGCTGTGGGAATACATCTGCAAGTATTTGCCAACTGTCTGAGCCGTTGAGGGGGTGTTGTGCATGCACTTCATGAGCTTTTCCTTGCGAACGCGTTTTTGCAGGTGGAGTGTCATCCATATTTGAACCAAAGTGAGCTGCTCAGCTTCTGCCGAGAGCATGACATGGCATTAACGGCTTACAGTCCACTCGGCTCCCCTGAACGACCCTGGTACGGAACTCTCTTTTGTGAGCCACGCTAAAACGTACTAAAGGTAAAAAAAAAAAAACACTTAGCTCCGTTTTGCCAAGTACCTTCAAGTGGTACCTGCTCCGTAAAGCGAGGGAATAATTGCTATATTGTTCACATTAATGACGACAATCAGCACAGAAGAAATAATCGAGTGTGGGTACATTTGGTGCTGGGATGTTTTCATTTCAATCCGTTATTAAACAAAACTATACAACTGAGTCTTGCTACATTGTGTTGATTCGGCATCTCCGGAATTCATGTTTAGGACACAAAACTTATTTTATCTACGCTTGTGTGACGTAATCTTCGAAGCCCTCGTAACACTTTCTCCATGAAAAGTTGCTGACTCATCTCGATTTATCACTATGCTCTAAATTGTGGAAGCTTGCCAAGTTGTATTTAAGAGAATCACTTTGATTTTTTTCTCGATGCACTTACCTGCAGGGCAAATCCTGATGAACCAACCCTCTTAGAAGACCCCGTCGTCAAGTCTATTGCTGTGTCACACGGAAAAACAACAGCTCAGGTGAAGGCATTCATTGAATCTCAATCATCTCAAGAAGTGTTCTTAGATCTTCCACTCGTCATGTATTCTTTTTTTTTTCTGCTGAAGCAGTGAAAACTGCAAAATGAAAGATAGCGACGTCAGGTGTTGCAGGTATATTGTCAGTTTTCTGCAGTACTACAACTGTAGCTTTGCTTCTTTTATTCAATGAAATAGTGTCATTTATTTTTTTGTAATGATCATTTGTCAATGTTTCACTTTCTGGGGCAATGCATGATGAAAAAAAGTGGTAGATTCCACGTTTAGTGGAAATCGATGATATGCGAAGCACGAATGAAGAAGGTTGATATGTCGCTTTAAAATCAGCACAACGTTACGAGGTGGGGGTAAAATATGCCGCATATGACTTTCGTGTCATGATTATCATGTTTGGATGTGTCGTTTACCTTCGTCATCTATTTACGACACGTGATACCAAATTTAGCATATGTTAAGTTAGTTAAATAACCGTGAGCACGCTATGAGCGTGGTATGTTGTCATGTTCTTCACGCGTGCCAGGATTATCATCTTTGCACTGGTCATATACCTTCGTCATCCATTGATGTAACGTAACCCTAAATTTGGTATATGTGGAGCTAGCGCAACGGCCGCGAGCGCGTCATGAAGGGCTAAATGTACTCCAACGTAACGTTGAGGCGCACGCACGCAAGGCACAGCGACAGACACCAAGCGCGACCGGAGCGTCCATTGGCGGGGCCCGTCCGCAACCGGCGCTAAATGCGACATGCTGCACTTCAAGCCGATGCGTTTCCCAGACAGCACTGCGTCTGCCTCTTTTCGTTACGGAGGGATGGCGGACGTGCTGAAACGCGCATGCGTCAAAGGAATGCAGCGCGGCGCGCGCCCGCGAGTATATGGCAGGACCGGCACCTGGCAAAGCAATGCCGGCGTGACTATGGTCCCTAGTGACCGTAGCGTGACGTGACGAAACGAACGCCGGCGCGCAAGTGCGCCGGGTCACGTCGAAATATATTAGCGTTTTGACTGTGACATGTAGCCATGTTCTCACATGACAAGCATCTCATGATTATCATGTTTGTACCAGTCACATGCCTTCGTCATCCATTGACGTCACGTAATACCAATTGGCATATGTGAAGCTAGCGCATCGGCCACGAGGGCCTCATGAGTGTGGCATGTAGTCATGTTGTTATATGACACGCATCTGTTTTATCATGTTTGCACCAGTCTCATATCGTCATCCATTCACGTCAGGTAATACCAAATTTGGTATAAGTGAAGCTAACGAAACGGCCGCCAGCGCATCATGAGCGTGGCATGTAGTCATGTTGTTACATGACACGCATGTCATTATTTTCATGTTACGACCTGCCACTTGTGTTCGCCACGAAATGATGTCATACCATACCAGTTTTGCAACATGTCATGTGAATGAAATCACCGCAAGAGCAGCAGGGCCATGAGATTTAAATCATGACATTCATGACATATATTTCATAATTTTCATGTTATGACTAGTCAAATATGCTCGTCATACGGTCATGCTATGCCATAAGAAGTTTGGTATTGACACCATTATCGGAACCGCCAGTAGAGCTAAAAGTCGTAGGCGGCTAGTTAGATAGATAGATAGATACGCTCAATGTCGCCGAAGTTCGTTAAGAAATTCTTCGCATTTAATATTATAATGTGAATGAAGTACATGGGCTTGAAATATTTATTATGCACAGAATACCTCATCTGCCAGCAATCGTAATGCAGCCGCTATGTAGTGCATAAACTGGACGGTGACACACTCAACAAAAGCTGTAATAAATGAAGCACTTCAGAAGCGCCTGAACCAGAGCTTGTTGGTATACTGGAACGCATTCATAGTAAATAACAGCGCAAAAACAACAAAGGCGCGACAGCGCTAGTTGTGTTTCATCTAGCTCGTCCCTGTTCTTCTCGCGCTGGTTTCTTGTTCAATGTAAATCCTATTTCATGTTATCTATTAGCAGCCAGTCAACATACTGCGGATTGTGACAGTGCAAAAAGCACGGAATGTCATCGGCTCATTGGTAAGGGGGTATGATTCTCGCTTAGAGCACGAAAGTTCCCTGATTGAAATCCCGAATTATTCCTCCTTTACAGTGAAAACTGTTATGAGATCACAACTCGATCTGGTCACGCGCAGTTGCATGTTGTCCGCCGTGGCCGGTGCCGCTGCCGCCGCCGCTGGTGTCCATGACCACATCGCACGAAATTAGAAAAAAAACCTTGCACCAATGACACAGTGGGGCTTGAACCCAGGCCCGCTGGATGCCAGCACAATATTCTACCACTGAGTTACGCCAGTGCGTGTAAATTGTTGTGAAACTTGCCTTAGGTAGGCATGACCTAGTACCAATGGCACATTGAGGCTCGAAACCGGGTCCGCTGGTTGTCAGCTCAGTATTCTGCCACTGAGCTACTCCGGTTTTTTCCTACATATGATTCAATACAAATGAGGCGTACGTGTATACATAGCGTACAACATACATCGGGTCAAGTCGACAAATGTACAATGGATGTTACAAAGTAAATCTCGGTACAACACAATTATAATGAGGTATTTGAGTAGCACACATCATGTACTCAGCATATCAGTCTGGCTGAAATTGCAGTTGGTCATAAAACTACCGTAGCCGCACAGTAATTTGCACAAAGTGGCTTCGCGAAGACACCATTGGTTCCACATGCCTGTCCAACATGCGACGTTTTCACAAACTATGCAGGCCCATTAACAACACCATGTAAACTGACATTTCGTTGCATTTGGGCGGTACAAGATAACAGATGCTATGAGAATTTAAATCCAGATGTTTTTTAAAAGTCCGTCTGCAGGATGTGCTAGAAAAGTATTGCGTCCTTACAACTAATAAAGCAATGTTCGATTGTTTTTAGAACTTCACAGAGGCGGCAGGTAATTGAGGATACAAATATGCCTCTGGTGTTTAACGAGGTTTTTACAGGTATTGTTTCTGTATGCACTTTGAAAAAATGTCTTGGTTATTGTTGAAATAGGCATTTTAGTTACACGTGATAGCCCGTCATGACCAGACAACTCAATATTGCTACGGTATGAGCCGGGCTATAGTATGTGCCGGGTAGGTAGAAAACAAAGACGACGTTGTCTGGTGTGACCTGAGGACTGCATCTTTACCGCGACTGCCGAACTTCATCCTCACCCTGTAAATAAATCCACCTATCCTTTAATTCAACCGTAACAGTTTTGTGGTGGAGGCGCTGGGTAATCAACCAAGCAACACGACGCTTCAAGCGCCTCATCTACGACGAAGCCGCCGCATTGCTGGACTGCCCCCGTTACCACTGGCAGCTGAGATGTCTCACGGCGATGAAAGAAACCGGATCCCTGCAGCTGCAGACCTTCTACCAGTCCCAGCATCACCGCTAGTGCCAGGTTCGCGTGCGGCTGGTCCCTGGTTGTGTCAAGATCTGATAGTGCCTCGCACATTCGGTAACAAATCTGGTGAGGACGTGGACTCCTGGCTCACACACTACAAACGGGTGAGCAAATACTACCAGTGGGACGCGGCGATCCAGCTGACCAATGTAGTATTTTTCTTAACAGACACAGCACTCGTGTGGTACGAGAACCACGAAGATGCCCTCACGTCATGGGATCGCTTTCTCCGAAATAAGAGCGTACTTCGGAGACTCCGTAGCTAAGAGAAACCAAGCGGAACAAACGTTAATGCAGAGAGCTCAGATCCCAGGAGAGACGAGCACGACCAATGTCGAGGCAATCTTGAAGCTCCGCAAGATTGTCAACCCTTTCATGTCAGAGGAAGACAAAGTTGGCCACCTCTTGAGGGGCATTGCCGAGGACGTGTATGAGTTCCACATCAGCAAAGACAGCCTTGCTACGGTAACCGACGTCATAAGCCACTGTCGCATATTCGAGACAATCAAGATGCTACGTATCATTCCCAAGTTCGGTCGCCTACCGAGTGTAACCACCGTGGCAAGTGTTGACGAATACACGCCACTTAATCTCGCGTCGACAATACGCCAGATCGTTCGAGAAGAGCCCACTCAACACGTTCGCCCAACGCCGTACAAAGCTACACCCGCACCGCCTCCTCTCGCCTTCCCGTGTCAATTGCTGCAGCAGGCATCGATGACTGCAACTACAGGCCACCCTCACCACCGAGGTCACAGCGCAATAACTACCCGCTGCCGAGGTAGCAAGACCGCTTCAGTTTCCCCCATCAGCCAGCCAACACCTATTACAACCCGAACGAAGATGTACCTGTACCACCACGTCAGCGCAATGCCTTCCAGGAGTACAATGCATACCGCCAAGCACCTGTGTGCTACAGTTGTGGTATCGCCGGCCATATAGCTCGGTTCTGTCGTCGACAGAGAGAGCCGACATCCCGATACCATTCTCCATCAGAGTTTCCGCCAGCGCGCACTGGTCACAACAACGGTCATTGGCCCGCCTGTTCCAGGAGTATCTCACGGCGGGGAAATGACCGTGGCAGTTCTCCCGCTTCTGACCGTAGTTTGACGCCTCCATTTGGCCGACTGCATCGTTCCCCTTCGCCGGGACGAGGCCTGTCATCACCACCGCCACGTGGAAACTAGCCAGCGCGACCGATGGAGGTGAGGTCACACAACAGGATTTGCCTCAGATGCCTCCGCCAGTTATAATGTCCAAGAACAAAATACGTGTTGAAATAGATGGCTTTTGTACAAGTGCTTTGGTGGACACTGGTGCTACGACATCAGTTATGAGTCTTTCTTTCAAAAGTCGCATTGGCCGCAAAGTTATGTTTTCTTGGGGCGAATCAACAAGGTATCGTGGTGTTGGTTGGGAAGTACTTCATTCTGTCAGAGTTTGTGCCGTCGATGTCTTATTGGCAGAAAAGGTGTTCCCAACAGAGTTTCTTGTGCTGCAACGTTGTACCCACGATGTGATTCTCGGTCTTGACTTTCTCCAAAGATGTGGCGCTTTCGTTGACTGAGGAAGCGGTGAACTTTCCGTCAGCGGTGACATTGTTCCTGCCCTCGTCGATGAGGCGCCGATGTGGCGCGAAGGACGCTCTGATTGTTTCCGGTGAGCTGACAGTGCCGCCATGGTCAATGAGGTCTGTTGTGGTGTTCGCCCCAGAATCTGCCGCATCTTTTGACGCTATTGTTGAATCTGCCATTGTTCATTGTGCTAAGAAAGGCATACTCGTCCCTCGTTGTTTGGTATCTGTTGATGAAGGAGCAACCTTTCTGTCGGCACTTAACTGTTCGGCAATGCCGGTTGTGCTCCCTCGAGGAATGAAGCTTGGCGTCTTTGATTATTCCACTGAAGGTTCTGTAGTTGTCGTTAACAACGATGAAAGCGAGAAAGGGACCGTCTCTGGCAAGCGCAGTCGCTCTTACAAGTCGCAGATCCTAGGCATGATTAGAGCCACTTTGCGGTCACACGAGCAGCAGATATTACGCCATCTGTTGAGGCAACATGCTTCTGTGTTTGACTTTTGCCAAAAGAAGAAGCCACTACCGTTACCATGTTCTCGCGCTCACCATACGATTGACACAAGCACTGCCCATCCGATCCGCCAAAAGCCTTACCGAGTGTCGTCATCAGAACAAAAAGTGATTGCCGACCAGGTTCAGGAAATGCTGAAGAAGGGTGTCATTGAAGAGTCGTGTAGCCCGTGGGCAGCACCGGTCATCTTGGTTAAGCAGAAAGATGGTGCCTGGCGGTTCTGCGTTGATTACAGAAGACTCAACGCCGTGACCAAAAAAGATATATATCCGGCTTCCTAGAATTGACGATTTTATTGACTGCTTACACTCGGCTTCGTACTTTTCTTCAATAGACCTACAATCAGGATATTGGCAGATACCTATGCACCCTTCAGACAAGGAGAAGACCTCATTCGTGATGCCTGATGGACTGTACCAATCCAGTGTGATGCCGTTTGGGCTTTGCAACGCCCCAGCCACCTTTGAAAGGTTTATGGACTCTGTCCTTTGTGGTCTTAAATGGGAGGTGGGCTTATGCTACCTGTATGACGTCGTAATTTTTGGGCGTACCTTCGAAGAGCACAACGTCCGTTTAAGCCTTGCTTTAGACTGTGTCGGAAAGGCTGGCTTGATTTTGAACTCTAAGAAGTGCCGGTTTGGTGAACGACAAGCTTTAGTCCTCGGTCACCTAGTTGACAAAGATGGTGTCTGGCCAGATCCCCGAGAAATCGAAGCAGTCAGCACATTCAACCCACCCCAGACACTGAAGGAACTTCGTAGCTTCTTGGGCCTATGTTGCTACTTTCACCGCTTTTTGTACCGATTCGCGGACGTAGTACACCCACTGACGATCTTGTTGCGAAAAGACAGCCCATTCGTATGTACACCTGATTGTGATGCCGCATTTTCTTAATTAAAACTTCTACTGACATCTGAGCCTATTCTTCGTCATTTCGATCCTTCTGCTCCTACAGAAGTGCACAGTGACGCAAGTGGAATTGGCATCGGAGGTGTGCTTGTTCAGCGCCATGATAATGCAGAGCATGTTGTTGCTTATACGAGTAAATCTCTAAGCAAGGCTGAAATGAATTATACGGTGATAGAGCAAGAATGTTTATTGACTGTATTCGCCATTCAGAAGTTTCGATGTTACCTCTACGGTCGTCTATTTACGATTGTGACAGAACATCATTCATTATGTTGGCTTGTTACCTTCCGAGGCTCTTCTGGCCACCTTGCTCGATGGGCTTTACGCCTTCAAGAATTGGACTTCAGCATTTCGTACAGAAGTGAACGACGTCATTCGGGTGCTGATTGCCTTTCTCCCCTACCTATGACCACGACGGAGGACAGTGCAGATACCCTCGCCATCTGTTTTGCTGCGGTCTCTCACACGTTTCCTGATGCCAATATCTTCAAACGATAACAACTGAATAATTTATCTTTAGACCCTTGGTTCGTTGACGCTCGGAATCTCAAAGGCAAGGGTCGCTTTCGCATTCGTGATGAACTTTTGTGCAAAACGAATTACTCAACAACCGGCGCACGTTATTTACTTGTTGTACCTCAAAGTCTTCAATGCGACGTTCTCCGTACTATGCACTATGATCCAACGTCATGACACCTTGGGTTCATTCGCACACTGAATCGAGTGCAGCAGCGTTTTTCCTGGCCTCGAATGCGAGATTTTACGAAACAATACGTCTCGAGCTGCGAGAACTTCCAGCGTCACAAAAGACCTGCCAGTGCACCGCACGGCCTTCTTCACCCCGTAGAACTGCGTTCTGCGCCTTTCGAGCAAGTGGCCATAGACCTATTGGGCCCGTTTCCGCGATCTTCGAAAAGTTGCTGGATAATAGTGTGCGTCGACCACCTTGTTAAGAGGTTTATCGGTGGGCACTTCGCGATGATTCATGACAGCAACAGTCAATGCGGAGACCGACTCTCTGCACGAGCTGCTCTTCTTATGAAAAGGGCTACCCACTAGAAGGCGCTGGAGAGGACGACCCACTGTTCAAAGGCTTTACCACAACTACCCCGGGTACGAAAAGGGAGCCGCCTGGCGACCTAACAGTTGGTTACAATGAGCGGGTCATGGTAGGCCTTGAGGCGCTCCACGTTAACAATGTCACGTCCTCGACGGCGCATGTCCGAAGATGGTTCGATGGGTTCAATCTAGTAGTTGACTGGGGAAGTGCATTTGACGACACGGTAGGGGCCTTCGTATTTGGGCAATAGTTTTGAAGATAGGCCAGTTGCAGTAGTAGGGATCGAGAGCCAGACGAGCGCTCCAGGGAGGAACGTGGGCGCAGTAGTGCTGGCGTCAGCGCGAATGCTTTTTTGCCGCTCTTGATCATGCGCAGTAAAGGTCTTTGCAAGCTCTCGATACTCTTCAGCAAGCTTGGCTGTAGCAGAAATAGGTGCCCACTCAGATGGATCTGGCCTGTACGGAAGTATCGTGTCGATGGTGTGTGACGGGTGCCTTCCATATAATAAAAATAAAGGTGAAAAGCCAGTAGTGCTCTGAGGGGTGATAGTATATGCGTAGGTGACGAAGGGTAAAATG